GAAACTTAGTACCACAACGATAATTGAACCTGCAGATGTTACATCAAGTGAACAAAAATATTAATAATAATATACTTTTTTTTACATATAGTGCTAACATGATTAAACATACATGCCAGTAAACACATGGGAATAAGAAAAGCCAAAACGAACGACGCCCGCGTCAAAACGTAAGATATATGGATGTACATATACATTATATATATATAGTAGTATTAATCATACAATTAGTTGACAGAGAATGAGTATCTGTGGGTGACTGCACAGGAAAGAAATGTATGTTGGGGACACTCATTCATCTTCTCTTTTATTCCAGACCTCATTGGGTTTTTGATTCTTGTTACAAATCAAACAATTCAGAAAAAAGAAATTCCATCTAATTTCACTAGGTTATACGGATGCACAGCACTCCGATTAAAATGCATGTGTCACATCATTCACACTTCCTGTTCAAAGCTGAACTCCGGGCAGATGGGTAAAACACAAATCTGTATTAATTATTGCATCCTTAAATGTATTTTTAAATACAACTAATGAAAGGACCTGGATCTGACTTGGTGTTTTGTTGCTGTACAGCAGAGCTCAGGCTAGGGGAAGATAGAAGCAGCACAATGAGTCAATGAGTTTTGCTGCGGTGCAAGGGACATGGGAGGAGAAAGCCGAGTGTGCTCATCAGTCTTCTGCTTCTCCTTTCCCTGTCCAGTCACAGGGTGGGAGGAGACCTGTAAGTGTTTGTGAACTGCAGCAAAGAACAATCCAGTCTCCTGCCCTGCCAGACAGCTATGTAGCAGGGACTTTAGAACTAGATAAACAGGAAGCCAAATCCTTTGATAGGTAACACAGCTCCCTGTGATGAATCTCATGTGTATTTAGCCGCTTGCCTGGAGTTCAGCTTTAAACTTTGGCTGCCGCACAGTGCAACCGTTCCAGCACGCCCAAAAAAACGTTATAACACAGAACAAAAAGAACACTCTGCTTGGATTAAAGAAAAGTACAAACAGGATCTAAACTTCTGTACTCTCACTTCCGCTATAGCAGGGGTAGGCAACCTCTGCACTCCAGCTGTGGTGTAACTACAAATCCCGTCATGCCTCTACCTCAGGGAGTCATGCCTGTCTGAGTTTTGCAATGCCTCATGGGACTTGTAGTTCCACAACAGCTGGAGCGTTAAGGTTGCCTACTCTTGGCCTAAGGTGTCCGAATAGCCACATTGTAGAAAACAGAGGTAACCCTGCCATCGTTCTGACAAGTCACATGCCAAGTCGCTGGCTGCTTCTAGAAACTAAAACGTCCTGGTAGCGGCAGATTTCGCAACATTAAACTTTTTTTTTTCTCTGCAAAACATTTCCATAACCATAGCACATTTACATTTCTTGTACAGGCGCCAGATCCTTTAGGGGTCGTTCACTCCAGATGCACTGGCAGCCGTGCTGAGCCAGCAGTGCCGAACGCATAGACAAGGCCTTGCTTTTAATGCAGTCACTCACTACTGTATTGTAATGGTGTGCACTGAAAAATAAGGACAGCATGCAGTGCTTTTTGTTCAGCGCCGCCGCAGTAAAAAGAAATGAATACAATGTCACTAACAAAAACAGTGCAAATATGCCGGTATCCGCCACTGCTCCTTCCAGGCTGCATGGAGTTACAGCTTTTGGCACAAGGTGATGTGTTCTTTATACTGCTTAAGGGCCCGTTCACAGCAGGGCCATGCGATAATTGCACAGAGCAGTACCGTACATTAACATTTCGGGAGTTGCGTCACACTGCCATTCATTTAACTGGCACCCCAAACGTAACTCCAGTCCGCAATGCGATCAACCGTGCCGCAACAGGCAGTACTGCAATACTGTGCATTGCAAAAAGCTGTGCATGCACAGCAACCACACCGCAATGCACGGCTCTGGTGGAAACGGGCCCTGAATAATTTTTTACACAAACTTTTTTTCCTGCTTTGGCAACCCCAAAAAACAAAAACAGCCTTTGAAATCAGCACAGCGGCAAATGGGTCCTGCGCCTGTACAACAAATCCAGACAACTTTGTAAAAAACCACCATGGCAGCTCCCAGTATGGTGACACCATAAGCCTCCGTCTCCTTTAATGCCACAAAACAGACTGAACACCTTAGGAATTGGAATCATTTTTGTCATTAGTTCCTGATAAAAGTTTCATTCATTCCCTTTCAATACCTAAAGGCCAACCCCACCCAAAACTAGCCGGGTTTTTGCTGATCTCCCCGTCGTTCTAGAAGCCATCATGGGCTTCCACTTGCCAGCAACCAGGCAAAACCGAAAACACCAGTTTGGAGCAGAGACGACCTTTATGTTCACTGTACACATAGACAAAAAGTTAGTGTAGGGACATACAGATCCCTTTACCATGTACTGAAAGTTCTGCTACAGAATATAGTCATCAAATACATGTTTTGCTGGCGTCTCATTCATACGTATAGTATTTGTGTGTCTGAGGTACTGTAATTGTCGTGGTGTGTGTTGTACATTGGATGAAACACACTGAAATGGACTGACAATTAGAATCGCAATGCTGTAGTCTAGCTAACTGGAGCAAATGTTTTTTTTTATTATCCTACATCAGGCTATGTGGTCGTGTGGCACTACAAGTTCCAGCATGCCACTCCGAAAACTGGTACCTGCTGGAAAGTCATGGCCTGTAATCATAGCATATGCAGCTTTTGTATTTGTCATTAAAGCTGAACTCCAGGCACCAAAACCTTCATTTATCCTCCTACCTCAGTAGCCACAAAGAGTTTAAATCTACTCTGTGTACTCCACATGCCTTTCCAAACCTAGATATGACCTTGTAAATGCAGTGACATCGTTACTGTGTGGTACATAGACTGTGCAGAGAGCAAAGCTGTGGAAGGGACCCAGCAGACCCTGTCCGCTACAGACTGCCTGCAGAAAACTACAGGAGGGGCGGAGACATGACCAGTCACCCTGCACAAGCAGAGATAGCAGCAGTGACTGGTCTTTATTACAGGAAGCTCCTGCACAGAGGTAAAGTGTCACACTGGATTACTGCACAGATCAGGAAGAAACACACAAAGCGCCCCACAGAGTAAACTCATGCCTCTTCTATTTAGACAATATTGGCTTATCCCGGAGATAAGCTTTAAGCTATACTAGGCTTGATTTGAACTATTTTAATACTTTTTATTTTGCAATAAGGGGCCTCATTAGTAGATTCAACTTTTCAGAGGTCTGCCCTATCCAAAAATCAGTCAGTTTCTAGTTCAGGTTTCTCTTGCACAAAAGGGGCCCCAGGAAGTCATAATTGTGACACTGAGCTGCAAGTACTTGCACTCCATCACATACATTGATGCTAAGATAAATTTATCATATGCATTGGAACAAAGGTGCAAAATAGGCAAGAAGTGAAGACCTGGACCTGTTGTATACATAGACTTTGGATGCGGGTATATTTGTGTGTATTTCTCTTCCTTATGATTGCAGAATGAATGTAATGTATCTGCAAACGCAAAGCATGTTTCTTCAATACTTATGGGAACATGTATAGACCTTCCTGTGCTCCTCAGCACCATCTAGTGGTGATAATGCCGAGGTGGGCGGAAGGTATATACATGAGCCCTTAAAGTGATCCTATCACCACAGGGTCACTTTAACAGTATGGCTCTACACTTACCCTTGCCAATGGCCTGTGTGTAAAAATGCCACCTTGTCGCTGCTCCCTGTCTGCAGTAGGTGTTTGACTCTTTGGGTGTGTTGAATGCCTGTTACTCCCCGCCGCACGCTGTGGATTCTCCCCCCAATTCGTACGTCTTGTAGCAATATATGAGTTGACCGGAGAAACCATATTATGTGGCATGGGAGCACACCCAGAAGTGAGAACTATATGCAGTGGCCAGGGAGCAGAAAAAACATTTTCAACATTTGAACCCACAAGCTGCTGGAAAAGTAAATATGGGGCCTGTTTTACAGCCTAGTCATTGTGTATAGATACAAGATCACTTTAAACTGCTGTGTAGTTGGTTGGTAAGTATTGCTACATTTTTCGCATGCCTGCTCCCTCACAACATCAAAGTCCACATACAGTAGGTACTGGTAACCCACATCAACCAATAAGAATTGACTTTCAGCCGTTTCCTGCGACCATGCTGATGAAAGCTGGTCAACTGTTGGGACTTATTGGATAAAACTGCTGTGGATTCACCCATGGCTGCACATTATTTTTGTGTTTGAGCCTCTCAGCATTTTCACTTCTTCAAGAGTTAACTTAACCACCGTTCATAGTCTGCACGCACCATTACACCACACCGAGGATCATTTATGAAAGCTGAAGCCGTAAGAGTGAAGGCATTGTCAGAGGGAACCAATTCAGTTCTGTGTTTCATAACTTAAAAAAACAGCCAACATCTATGTTTTTATCTTTTTCGCAATCAGCTCTGGTGGATCTGTATGATGCAATACAGAGTCAACAATGAAGGCCAACTCCAACTGAAAATAATATTTCACTTGTAAGAATGGGTACCAGTGGGTCAAATCCCTACACAGCTTTTTACATCCCCGAGACTCCAGTGGTAAGATTTGCCGTATGGCAGTTGTCTTTGCTCGCTTGACTCTACACTTGTATGTGTATCCTTTGGAAATCATGACACCATCCTTTCGAGTGGAACTGGTTATTTCATTTGGTATATTTCCCCAATGAAGTCTCGGAAACATAAGAAGCCAGCAAATGAGTCAGCTTGCCAGCAACAGCAAATACAAATTCTATGAGTGGATGAAAGTGATGTAGGTTCAAATGTATGCAGACATACTCTGACAGAAGCCATTTTGAAGTGTGAACCAATATTCTAAATGGTAAAACCCATCATTCCCTGTGATGCCGGCTATAGCTCAGCCTGTCCTAGTCAGCTAACCAAGTTCTTGAACTGGCGGGCAATATTAGTTTACCTTTGGAAATGGTTGCCTCGAGTAGATCTAAGCTGCAGATACACTTATAGAAACTTTTAGTGCCCAAAAATAAAAAAAAGTACAACATTGACAATTAAAGATGGTGGAAGCAAGATGACTTCTCAAAAATAAATAGCAGGAAACAAGCATTGTCTCCAAATGGATCAGTTAAGGCAGTTCATTGGATGTTTCCATCTTCTTAAAATACTTCTGTGGATTTGAACAGAAACATTAACGGGTGACAGATACCGTCACCCCCAAAAACACTGAAATGTTTTTTCTCCTTGTTTCTGTTAACAAAAAAGAAAAATCGATTGCACAAAGTGTAAAAAATAACAAATCAGACTGCTAGGATGAAGGAAGCAGCAATCGAATAGTGACTGGAACCTGGTAATAACTCCGAAAGGTAAAGTACGTTCTCCTTTTGTTGGAGATTCCAAGCCACTACTGGATGGAAGGAGCTCACAGCATCCTATAAAAAGGGAAAGTCCTTCCACTTTGTAACCAGAGACATCTGATGTTAATACGAAGTAGGATCTTCCTGGTAAAGATTCCTCAGTTGCAAGGATTCTCTGATGTCCTGAACCCCCAAAGGGCTGCACATAGTTCATTCTGAAGTCCAGCAGACAAGCGCTCAGTTCACACCTTCCGTCACTAAGTTCTGCAGCGTGCTTTCTTTGATTTGTTGGATGAAGAGTTTGCGCTCGTCCTCCGGGGTCCGCCCGTTTTGTGCTCGCACAATGCAGGTGGGTCGGTGGAGGTTCAACATGTAGATAAGATGCTGCTTCTCGTTCTTTAGTTCCTCAATTTGGGCTTTCAGGTCTGCATTGATAGATTCCAGCTTCTCTGACTCCTTATTAGAAGAAACAAGGCAGAATTAGGGACAAGGTAAACACAGCCTACCTAGAGACAGATAATGGAATTTTATAAAAGGCATACGCTTTTTAAAACCTTTATTCCTTAAATGTACCAATGTAAATCAAGCAATGCTGCAGATAGAACAACTCTCTTTTGGTTCCTTTCTACTGCTGTCCTTTAGGAGGTGTATTAGGGTCACCTATGGTTCATTCAATTCAGCTGTGGACCCATGTAAGCCAAAGCCAAAGAGAGGCTAACACACATTAACTTTTTTTCAAAGTAGAGGATCTTACTCAACCGAGCAAAATAAAGAAACAGAACATGTTTTGGGGGGACACACAGGTACCCTTTCTCAGGGTTACAGACTTTGAGAATGATGAACTGCATGTCCCTCAGATGTTTGTTGTTTGATTATTTCTCCCCCATGCTCACTCTGCTTTATCAGAGTACTGCATTGCTGGCTTCTCCTTGCCTCTTGCTTTCAGACACTTTGCTGAAGGCTTGTTACAGGCTAAGTTCACCTTTTAAAGAGAATACATTTTGCAGTCAAGGGGTCCCAGTGCATAACAAAAAACTGTGCAGTGATGTAGCAACGGCAGACAGTGCAACGTGCGTGCACAGGGATTTGAATGAGGAAGTTTGCTCACGTCCAACAGCTGGAGTGCCCTAGTGACAGGATAGGTCAGGACATGGCAAAGCCATCTATGGGAGGTTTGTTTAGCCAGGCTCCTTGGGGGGAGAAAATGGCCAACAGGTATGAGATTTGCATTTGTCAAGATTTGAAAAGCTGCAAATTTTCTTGATTTGTACTGGGGCCACTTGACTGCATAGGCTATTTTCTTTAAAAGGTGACCCTATCCTCTAAAGTCAAACTATTCATTGACATACAGTATGTGCACCCCTGCTGTCAAATGACAGTCTGTAGCAGTTGGGTGAAATACAAAAACAAGGGGCTCAATGCAATTTCTGTTGACTCGCCACTTAGAACGGTCACAAACTACGTCCTCGTAATCAAATCATTTGCCTACTTGATGCTGTGTTTATTCTCTACACATTAGAATGGTGGAAAGGGATGGCATGGGTGCTCTCACCTTCTGCAAGCATTCTGTTTTCTCTTTCTTTTTGTTTCGACACTTTGCAGCTGCAACCTTGTTCCTCTCTCTTCTCCTCCTCTTCCTATCGTCTTCATGCGGCACAAACTGGGAAATAAAAAAGGACATGTCTGCATAAGTTTCAGATATTTTCCCAACAGTGCACTGACAAAGGATGTCTCACAACCAGCAGATAACAGATATCGGCTTTTGTTTGTTATTGGCCAATCACAGGATTAGTCTGCCAAAAAAGATTTCACTTTTGGGTTAATGCAGTCTGAATGAAGCATCGCCACGCAGATCTTAGGCAGGTTCTGGCAGACTCTGCACCCAGGTTCCGAACGCTGGTCTTTACACAGCAGTCTCGCTCTCTCTGTTGGATTTTTTTGTCTTACTATATAACAGGAGAACTGAGATTACATGGCTATGGCAGAAGGCAGTTGGGAACTCAGATGAGGGAATTACACAGCCCTCGCCGCTCAAAGATAAAAAGTCAGCTGACTGGACACCAGTTTTGAGTACATTGATCCTTTAAAGATAGTTTGTCACTTTACCTGCTCAGGACAAAGTGATATGTTCTCTTGTAAGACAACCCCACCCCCATGCTAATGTGCCTCTTCCATGTGCTCCCCTACCACTCCAGTACTTGGTTGGAGTGCTGAGCCCTAACCCTGTGTAAGCTCTGTATTGGATGGAAAAGCATCAAACAATTATGTATTTCAGCTGTAGATAAGGGTGTTCCTGGTGTATCCCTTTAAATATGAATGCCTCTCTACAATGACCCCACCGTAACCAGTTCTCCCAAATAACCACTTTGATCCAACCATAGACATAGCATACCTCTGTCTTAGACATTGTCATTTCAATGGGCCTTTCCGCAACCACAACGCTATCCAATGTGCAAGGTGCCCGGATACGCTTATTCTGGATGGTGAACCTCAGTTCTTCTTTAACCAGAGGCGTCAGGTTGGTGAAGTCTTCGAAAGCAAATGTCATTGTTGGAGACAGGCATGGGACAATGGCGGTTGCGCTGACCTCCACAGCTGATCCCTGTCCTGGGTGTTGAAGCATCATTTTTCTAAGGGGGAAACAAAATTCCAACAATTTAGGGATGCAAAACTTGACTTCACATCTATGAAATTGGATGTGTACCAAAATACTAATTGAAATAACTCTTTTAATCAAAGTTATTCACATTTTCAGAGGAAAATAGCAAAGTAAAGCCTACCCATAATTGCAGCCCCATATTAATATGTAGCATTCAAATATTCCCTGCTAACGGCTTCCGCAGCCCCAGGTTCCCCTCAACCAAGTCAGCAATGAACAAGAGCAGCCAAAAGCCAAGTCAGCAATGAACAAGAGCAGCCAATGGAGGAACAGACAGGGTGCTAGAGCAAGTGTAATGGTGCACATACGGGCAACGCATGTTTGCTTTAAGAAAATGTGGCCAGTTAGAAATCACATTTTAATGATCCACCTGCGCTAAAGGGTAAAACTTAAAAAGCTAATTGGTTACTGTACAACACCGATTTAGGCATTGCTCCTGAATAAGGAAACACAACATTTCAAAAAGTGTCCCATAACAACCAATCAGGTTTCATCTCAAATTCTGCGGCAAGAAGAATTGACTGATTGCGACAGATGATGGCTCAATGCTTGGCCCAGTTTTCCATTTATGTATAAATCAGTCTACATAGTGTGACATGAGTCCTAACAGAATTCTCCAAATGTAAAACATGACCGCTGTCCAAAAAGTAGTGATGACATCACTATATATTTCTTATGTTCACATCACTTGTGGAAAACAAACTTTGATAAGGTATCTGATTGGATTGGGTAAAATGAGCTGCATCATCACTAGTTCGGTAATAACGTCAGCAGCTACACTAATACAGCTGAAAGCTTTTTGTTGCTTGTAATGTTACAAAGTACAAAGTTTACTAGATGTATAAATAGCATTTGGCTTATAATTACACAAGCTCACAATGTTATTTTTAGGGTCAGATCACCAATTAAACCATTTATTTTCCTCAGAGGTCCGTTCCAGTGTCAACAAGAGGTGAGCGAGATTTGGCTCTTTGCCTGTCTGGAAGCCCAAGCTGCTTACTAAGTTTCTGAGGGAACTGAAAGTCATTGTAACCCCTCAAGATTATGTTATTTCTCATCACTAGGAGAAATGAAATTTAGTATCTTCAAGTGACCCAGTCATAAAATATAAACACCCTAAATAAGTGCACCCGTAAAAGACGACTCTCAGTGTATACCAATCCTGCTGCCAATGTGGATAGAACACAACTCTGTTCAGTAAAGTCCTCTGCTGAAATCCATATCGAACCAATATTTCTGGAAGTGTCCAACTTCTGGGTGCCCCCCAGATCTCAATGGTTCTCCAGCTGACCTCCATGTCACTGATGTGTCCTGTAATGGGTGGAGGTCAAAGGTAGGAACCACGGGGGACCCACAAGTGTTGGTTTCCCTATGGATTTCAGCAGATGACTTTACTGAACAGTGTGGTGTTATGGCATTGTGGGCAAGGGGAAAGTGAAGTACTGAGAGTCTTCTTTTACTGGCACACTTATTTGGGGATTTTTTTATTTTATGACAGGGTCACTTTATTGGAAATCAGGAAGAATAGATGATGAACCAGCCAAAATTCAGGTGGCCCTGTCGGTTTCTCCACTTGACAAAAGGCTGAACAAAAAAAACCTATCAGCGTATGCCTATCCTATTGCTCCAGGACAGGCAAGCTCACCCTTACTTAGCTGGTCACTAGCCTGGAGCAAGCATACGTATATCAGGTATCAAGATCAGAATGACAACCCTGAAGCCTACACCTTAAAAAACAAGGTCATCAAAGGTTTCCCTCATATCTATACTCTAAGAGGGTTCCTTTAAACTTTCTTCTCAATATGTGCAAAATGTTTTATGGGGTATTTACTAAATACGCCATCAGGTTCCAATAATTAAACAAACCTAAAAGGGATCAAAGGGGGGGAGAGAGAGAGGGGGGAGAGAGAGAGAGAGAGAGAGAGAGAGAGGGAAAGTGGAATGAGGTTCACTTATGCAATGCAGCCATATCAGTGGTGTGCGTGTCACAGAACTACAGGTGACACAGAACCTAAATAATGATTTCAACCGTATATTTTTAGCCATTTGTCTGGAGTCGCCTTTTAAGTAATCACCTGACAATACATTAACCCGATGTCACAATGCCATTAGGTTAATGTTAAACAGTCAGTGAGCTCATGGCCTCAGTGACCTGGCTATGTCCTGGAGCAACCCGACATGACTACTGCTATTTCTAAAGTAGTGGGGTAACGTGCTGCCCTGCAGCCATGGAGGTACCACATGTCCCAGCATGTCTTAGTGAGGCTGGTGGGTATGGTCAGACTTGAAACACCAACAAAGCTGGGGGGCTAAGAATTATCTGACCTTTCTTAGTGATTGAACAAGGAAGCAGAGTGTCATTTCCGGGAAAAGAATCCGGTTTAGAATGTGTTGTGTCACTACAAAGGACATTGTGTAACCTGCCAGCAACTAGTGGTGACAGCAATGAGGAAAGCAACAAGTAAAAAAGCCACCAGACATCATCAGGCGAAGAAAGCTCAGTCACTGTGACGTGCAGGATTCTCATTGTCCTCCTGTCTTGGCTGCGCTTCTATATTCTTGAGATTCATCTAAAATCTCTTCCTGCGGTCTCCATCAGCCCACAGGGACCTTCAGGTCTCCATCAACACAGGGGGACCTTCAGGTCTCTGTCAGACCACGGGACCTGCAGGGCTCCGCCAGCCCACGGGGACCTGTAGGTCGCCGCCAGCCCACTGGGACCTCCAGGTCGCCGTCAACCCACGGGGACCTGTAGGTCGCCATCAACCCACGGGGACCTTCATTCAAACCATCACTGAAGTGTGAGATCAGTTGTTACAAAGCTGTTAGTAGATCTACAGGAGATTGCACAGTGTATGGCCAGCTTTACACTTTGCCAATAAGCCTGACAATCTACACCAGGGGTAGGCAACCTCAGCACCCCAGCTGTGGAAAACCTACAAATGTCATCACATCTCTGACTCTGGGAGTCCTACCTGTGACTGTCAGAGTCTTGCAATGTCTTGTAGGACTTGACATACTACACATAGACAGCTTTGTACATGCCACACGGCAGATCCCACTCTGCAAGTCACACGCGTGTCTCTGGTCATGTATCCACATATAAGGGAACCGTCTATTCTTCTTCAACTTGCACGCCATCCACGCAAAAGTGAACAAAAAACGACTTCTGAAACCACCGAGAGATCCCTCTCTGTGTCAGTTCTGCAAAGGCTGTCACATCACACAGCTTCCACCATGGCAAAGAGCCAGGAGGAAACAATGTTATATAAAGAAAAGATTGTGTGTGTACACATCGAAGGCAGAAGCAGAAGTCACAGCAATCATCACACATGACACACTTGTATCGGTGAGAGATATACTTTGTACTCTTCTTTACCTCATCACATAAACTGCTGGAGCCGTGACAACAGAAGACAACCATTGCTGGGGGGCAGGTGACCCGGTCCTGATAAAGAATCGGTCCCAGGCAATAAAAAGGTGTTTACTCTCCGGCCACCTCATCCTCCTGACATGTCCAGAGATACACCTAATGCCCATCACAGTATAAAACCCCCATTGTCTGATCCTTCACAGGATCCATTACTGACACACAGAGCTCCACACGAGGAATGTACTGATGACAACATCCGTGTGCAATACTCAGGGGTCTCGTCTCCTCCAAAACTTTACATCAACATCAGTGAAAAGATCAAACCTTCATTCAATGTATACATCCTGGTGTGTGTGTGAGTGTGAGTGTGTGAGAGAGAGAGAGAGAGAGAGAGAGAGAGAGAGAGAGAGAGAGAGAGAGAGAGAGAGAGAGAGAGAGAGAGAGAGAGAGAGAGAGAGAGAGAGAGAGAGAGAGAGAGAGAGAGAGAGAGAGAGAGAGAGAGAGAGAGAGAGAGAGAAAAGAGAAGAAAGAAAGAACGAATGAACAAGATGGGGTCACCACTGGAATGAGGTTCACTTCGAGTGTTTATGCTGTGCAGCCATATCAGAAAGAAAGAAAGAAATAATGAAAAAAGAAAGAAAAGTAGAGAAAGAGATATATAAAAAGTGATCATTAATACACACACACACACATGTGACTGTATTCTATGACATAACACATACCTGTGTACACATGTTATACAGATACAATACACATGTTGTGTCTCGGGGAGTCATGGATCACGGAGTGTCCTCTGCTCCGTGTGGAAGGCGGAGGACTCGGGCAGAGGAATGGGGAGTTCTAGGCGGGAATGTGACGCCACCTTTTGGCGATCGGTGTGAAAGTCACATGTGAGAACTGAAAGTATTTCCGAGCATTTCATCAGAACGCAGAGCCGGAGCAATGCTCACCTCCCGGCCACCCACATGGCACTGCTCACCGGGACACCCAGCCTCCCTTCACATGGAATGTACAAGATTAAACCTACCTACAGCACAACAACTACTACCACCTACAGCACAACAACTACTACCACCTACAGCACAACAACTACTAAATACAGCTCAACAACTACTACCACCTACAGCACAACAACTACTACCACCTACAGCACAACAACTACTAAATACAGCTCAACAACTACTACCACCTACAGCACAACAACTACTACCACCTACAGCACAACAACTACTACCACCTACAGCACAACAACTACTAAATACAGCTCAACAACTACTACCACCTACAGCACAACAACTACTACCACCTACAGCACAACAACTACTACCACCTACAGCACAACAACTACCACCACCTACAGCACAACAACTACCAAATACAGCTCAACAACTACTACCACCTACAGCACAACAACTACTACCACCTACACTCTGCTGTCCTGGGGATTCTGAGATTCCTGTAGTCCGCTCTATCCCGTCAACGAATTATCTTTATATATAAACACAAAGATAACCCGCTCTCCTCACACACACAGGAAAGTAACATTCTGAATATATACACAACAATGATAATAATAATAATAACACCCAGCGTGTCCCTGAGATGTGTATACACAGCCCGGGGAGATCCTCATCATCCCTCCGGATACACATCATATATTATCAGCAATGAAATGACAATTATTCATAGTAGTAGAATGGACGGAGCCGAATGTCACATGACTTCTATTATAATGGTGATTAATAATGATGATCAGTATTACTGATAATACGTGGGGGTGGGGGGGGGCTCACTCTGATCTCTGGATACAAATCATAATAATAGATCCGGGGTCGCGATCCTAACTCGAATAGCCCCCCGATAATCTAGTCATCCCCCCACATGTATCTGAAGCAGTCCGGAGCGGGCTCTGATCGCAGTTCGGGCTATCTCAGGTCACAGCCGCGCAGCAGTTGGAAAAGTTGTTACAAAGTCTCAGCAGCGCGTTCCATTGTTCCGGGTCGGGCAGGACCCAGCTGGGTACAAGGTGAGGAGGAAGAAGAGGGGGGAGCTCGGGGGGAAAAGTCACCCAGAAAGTGATGGAAGAAGTTAGGAGACAAAGGAAGCCCCCACCCCCCTAGGAAGAGTGGGAGGCTGGCAGGAGCCCCTCTTACCTGAAGCTTGTCAGCGCGCTGCTGTTCTTAGGAAAGAATGGCAGACAAAGGGTCGGCTCCGTCCAGCCAGCACTCAGTCCTATCCGTTCCCCTCCGCCACTCTTTCTTTCTCTCTGGTAGAGTTGCATCACCGTGTTATATAGTAGAGGGGCCGTTCTGGAATGCGTTACGTCATGCTAATAATAGAAGCCATGGTGATGCAAGGTAGGACCAGAGAGAGGAGGGGCCCCTGGTGTTGATGATGATGATAAGAGGAGGGGCCCCTAGGATGATGATGATGAGGGGGAGGTGTTTTGCAGGGGGAAGCCTCTCTCCATAAGAGGAATAGGGCGAGGACTTGGGTTAACTCCTGCGTGTCATCGCTATGAGCCAATGCAGCCGAAGCCGGTGTAGTGACCGCAGGCGGCTGGCATGTGAGCGCTGGGAGGAGCCCGAGAGCGCTGCGCCAATGTTTTCATGTTATTCTCCGCTGTTACCTAGCAATGGGGTACCCGGACCGCGCTGCGCTGCGCCACCCTGGACGCGCAGGATCACAAGTGCTTTTATATACATTTGTACATCAAAAATAACTTTAACATTTTACAACAATAAACAACATTCACGAGCATTTAAAAAGTAACCCTGAAAATGCCCCCTGCCAGACACTGATCAGCGTTAGGGGGCATTTATATCACTGATAGGTAGGATCCTTAGAGAAATGCTGCACCTACTGGGGGGTTTCACATGATTGCTGTACTTTCATTCACTTGCATTAATATATTTATAGTTATGTCACGCACACATTTGCCTTGCGCCAAGACTATTCAAATCAATGGGTTGACATACCAAAAATTGGACGTGACCCTCTATTTGTGACACGCCACACTACCCTGCGTTAGTGCGTTGGGGTGCCATTCAAAATGAAAAACGCAGCAATGGGTTTTAGTTAGTGCGCATTGGGGTGCCATGGCAACGCAGATAGAACTATACCGGGAGGTAACGCGCCGCAAAAAAGCGTTTTATTGAGGAATGCCTCAAGCTTTGACCAAAATTTCACTCTTTATTTGTATGTATTAGATAATCCCTCTTATTGATAAGAAATACCCAGAGCCACCATCAAGGCTGTCATTAGGAGGCAATGGTAGTCATAAGGAGGCAATGGCATTCATAAGGAGGCAATGGCATTCATAAGGAGGCAATTGGGTCATTAGAAGGCAATGGGGGTCATTAGGAGGCAATGGGGGTCTTTAGGAGGCATCGGGGGCCATTAGGAGGCAATGGCGGTCATAAGGAGGCAATGGGGCTATTAGGAGGCAATGGTGGTCATAAGGAGGCAATGGCGGTCATAAGGAGGCAATGGCGGTCATAAGGAGGCAATGGGGGTCATTAGGAGGCAGTGGTGGTCATAGGGAGGCAATGGGGGTCATTAGGAGGCAATGGCCGTCATAAGGAGGCAACAGTGGTCATAAGGAGGCAACGGTGGTCATAAGGAGGCAATGGCGGTCATGAGGAGGCAATTTCGGTCATAAGGAGGCAATGGTGGTCATAAGGAGGCAATTTCGGTCATAAGGAGGCAGTGGTGGTCATAGGGAGGCAATGGGGGTCATTAGGAGGCAATGGCGGTCATAAGGAGGCAACGGTGATCATAAGGAGGCTATGGAGGTCGTTAGGAGGCAATGGTGGTCATAAGGAGGCAATGGCTGTCATAAGGAGGCAATGGCGGTCATAAGGAGGCAATGACGGTCATAAGGAGGCAATTGGGGTCATTAGGAGGCAATGGCAGTAATAAAGAGGGAATGGCGGTCATAAGGAGGCAATGGTGGTCATAGGGAGGCAATGGGGGTCATTAGGAGGCAGTGGTGGTCATAACTAGGCAATGGGGGTCATTAGGAGGCAGTGGTGGTCATAGGGAGGCAATGGCGGTCAGAAGGTGGCTATGGCGGTCATAAGGAGGCAACGGTGGTCATAAGGAGGCAATGGCCATCATAGGGAGGCAATGGTGGTCATTAGGAGGCAATGGTGGTCATTAGTAGGCAATGGCGGTCATTAGGAGTAAGTGGTGGTCAGGTTTGGGGTAGTTATACTAGCTGTATCTAAAATACTTTTACTTGAATATAACCAGACGACATTATTATTATTATTATTATTATTATTACACCTTTGTCCTGAGTTCTATAAGAACATTGTATTACATCAGCTCTGAAACCTTCACACCCCCAGCTAGTATCTCGCTGTAAAGTAATTACATAAGATGGGACTCGGTCTAAGCAGGGAAAGCCTGGAACCAAACAAGCTATTAAACAGCTGTAACTATTACCAGGAGAAAGGATGAGTCACCTCCCAGATCCATGCATGGCTGTCCGAGCTGACTACAAATTACCATTAATATGTCCTCTGAAAAACAACTACCCCAGGGAGCGCAATATGTCATTATTTGACTATATTGTCTGTACTGTATATATAGAAATGGGTGTCATTCTACATAACTACCACAAGGGGGCTAAACTGCACTTCTGTAGATTGTATAATACATAATCTGTGTACAGGAGAGAGAGAGAGAGAGAGAGATCGAGAGAGAGAGAGAGAGAGAGAGAGAGAGAG